TCCTTTGAGATAATGGTTTGGGCCTGGTCGCACCCCAAGTAAAGTCAGAGATAGGTAACAAGAGAGAAACATGCTTCAAAGCCCCCGTTTTGGTCTATCCGAGATCACTTAAAAATTGCAGAACTCCTAACAATATGTACAAAAATATAAAATGTAAATAAAAAATACAAGCAAATTCTCCTTTAAAGTACTTTTAAGAAAGAAAGCAGGGCCTTGAAGATTTGATGCTTGAGGGGGAGGAGGTCTGTGGGGGAAGAAGGGGGATCTCTCCCCGCTAATGGGCGACTGGTTTTGTATGTTCTCATTTTGAATGTTTGTTGAGTGGCAGCACCGTGATGGGGGGCCGGGGCCGGAGTTCACTCTACTTGGTGAGGATCACCACGGCAGAGGGGGTGGAAGGAGGGAGGTGGAAAGGAAGGAGGGAGGTGGGGAGGGGGTCCCAAAGGTGAAGAGGATCATCTTTCTAGCTGAGGATCATTCTTTCATTCTTTGTTTGACCACCTTTCTATGTCAAATGGTCTTTTAGTTTAGTAAGCTTGGGAAGAAAGATTGCATTACTTAACAGATCTTCAATATCTGGGATTGTTACTGGACAATTCAATAAGAAAAGATATGATATCTTTTCTGAATCCTTTCTGCTGTCATTTAAGCTGCTGCCTGCCTAAAGTGTGTAGAAAGCAGGTTAGCATGGCAGACAAACTATCTTACAAGATAGTCCATTGCAGGGCTTTTAGTATGTTCTCCCGAAGCAAATGAGCTACTCAGTGTCGGAGGTAGAATGCTTGACCACGTTGCCATTGATTGTGGTAGTTCCTGTAAGCGCAACTTCAGCTTTGAGAAGGAAAGGCTCCAACATAAAAAAATCTTGAACACTGAAAATAGTGTGAAATACATGCTATAGCATAGGGGGTTTTGCTATCTATCTATACTTTTTTTTTTTATAATGGTGAAGACATGACAGTTTACCAGTTTAAAATAACACACTCCATTGAATGAAGGATGGTCAGGTGAAGATTCTTCTATAAAAGATTGCAAGAATAATGATTCCTCCTATTGTGTTTGTTATCTTTAAAACTGTTGGTATTTAACCTTGATCTCAGCTCTGTAATTCAATGAGGTGTGGAAGGTGAACTTTCTTAGAGATTTTTTAAAATTTTTTTAGAGATTTTTGGTAAACTTAAGTGTTATATACATGCATAATGAACAAGAACCTGTGAAGAATGTTGGCATTTTTGATGTTTTGAAAACTCAAACCTTCAATTTTAAATAGTTCAATTCCATTATCCTGCAACTAGGGGCATAGCTTCACTGTAGCTTCCTTACGATGTTCATAAGGTGCACCTGGATCATACAGGACAGCCACTTTATTCTTGCAGACTTTTCACAGAGCGAGAAGGTTGTGTATGCCTTTTAATACTCCCTACCATCCCTTCAACAGACATTAACACTCATTTTCACCTTGCTATTCCTTCTAAAGTATCTTCAGAATCAGAATCCCTTGAGCCTAAATATCTTTAAAACTATTGTCTCTACAACAGAAGTCTCAATCTGTAGACACAAATGTGTAAAGCTCTCCTCTTCTGGAGGAACGGTCAAATAATCAAACAATCCAGGCAGTAACAAAATAAATCCTCATGGAAAAGGCTGGCATCAACATTTGAGCCAGTATCTCTAAGAGCTTTGAATGTGTAATGGGAGATGCACTCTTCTCAAAATATGCCCGTCTAACTATGGGCAAGTAAACATCTTCACCCTGTTGAAAAACAATGAACTGCATCTCCAAGCTCAGGTACTGTGCAGAACTTGTCATAGCAGAGCACTATTGTAGAGGAAACTTCAGCTAGGGATAATGGAAAGATGGAGAATGAAACCAAGTCTAAGTTCAGGAGACTTCAATTATAACCAGAAAAACCTGTGGATTTATTCAGATTGTTTGAACGGGAACAGATGTTAGGGCACTGCTGTGTTCTTCATATATAAGAAATGTCCAATACCCTACTGAAAAGCACAAAAGAGCTTGTATTTTACTAGCAAAGCAAAATTATAATTATGGCGTTGATGATCTCAAGCTCTCTCTAAAAAATGAATTATTGGTTCTAGAGGCTCTTACTTTAATGTGAGTTATTCTCAGGCCGTTCCAGCAATTCAAACGCTACTTTGATTAAACATTAGGTATGCTTCCCAGCTATGGAGAGTTAAGTGTCAATAAAAACCACAGCCCCATTATTTTTCAGGGTTTAATAGTGAAGGGTTGAAAACCACTTTAACAGGAGCTTGTTAGTACCGAAGCGTGGCACAATGCTGTTCCAGCCGGGGATTGCTAGAGGGCAGCGTTTACTAATAGTATGTTAAGAGTGCAGTCGTTTCACTATAGGAATTTGGTAGGCTATTTATTTGAGGACTTAAGTCAGTACAGTTCTTTTTCTCCGTGTTTTTCAATTTGATTTGCATGGTGGAATAATACCACCAGTCTTGTGGCTTTTCTTTGCTTGTTTATTAATAGTAATCATAGCCTCTTCAGGTTTACCAAGACCTCCTCGTCTTAGAACATTATATTTATGAAAATCAGAGGGAAAAATCCCTTCAATAAAAACTTGCCTGATACCTTCTACTTAAATAGTTTGACCTACTTTTCATGTCACTGTTGATAGATTTGGTGAGGATGGTTTAGAGCAAAACAGTGCTTTGCCTTGTGGTTACCTTTTAATAATCTGTTTAATGTTTCAAATTTTGGGTATTTTCTTGTATATGTCTATGTAGATGCATACAAGACAGAGGCGTTTGTGAAATTAGGAGAAAGTGTGGATCTGCTTTGGTAAAACATTTCAATCAAATATGTGAAAAGGGGGAAACAATTGCTTTTAAACACCAAGGAAGTAATATATTTCAAAATGACACCTGCATAATATGTACCTCCAAGCAAAGAGGAGCCTCAGGCTATTAGGAATGCTTGTTTTCCTATTGCATGGAAAGCAAGATATTGCATACAAGCAAGCAAGGAAACAGGTATTAGCTGATGGGAACCACTGTAGGGGATATTTCAGGGAACCGGGTATGCTGTTACTTGGTAGAGAGTCATCTATTGAAGGCATGACAAAGATGTACTCCAGAAAATAGTGTGAATGCATTATAAGACGAAAATGGTGATAGAAATGGATTTTTTTTGTTGTTTTTTTGAACCCTTAAAATCATTTGGCGTGTTGGAGGCCAAGCTTTATAAAAGCCTCCTGAATATTGAAAGTGGTGAACAGTCTGATCATCACAGGTTTTTTTAGTTTTATGGACAGTATGATTCAGATACTATCAGATGCTCAGATGAAGATGTAGGAATAAAATTTAGAGAGCTGTACTAAAGAGCTTTTCAGCAAATGTGTGCATCATTTAATCAGGGCCATAACCCAGTTAAGAGTTTATTAAATAAGTAGTAATTTATTAACATGATATCGATTATGCTTTCAGCTTCTCATTTGCTTACTTCCAGGGAAAGCCTAATAGGAGGACTAATTTGCACTTTTTATGAGCTAACAAGTAATATATTAAGCTTTATGTCTAACTGTAAATCTTCAGAAGTGGAAAACAGAGCACATGATCTATGCAACTGAGTAAAATTTAACAATGGCTGTGTCACTCTTGCATTCCTAATTTGTGGGGACTTCTCTGTGCAGTTCAATGTTTCATGAAAATAGATTCTGTTGCCTTCAACGTGCTAAATGCTTCAGTGAAAACTGAGAAACTCTTAAGGTGTCAAAAATGCTTAGCTCTTCTACTGCATACTGAATTTTCTCTATATGATGTACTGAGTATGAAAGTTTGCAGAAACTAAAGGTTTCCTGTAGCCATTGCAGCAGCACAAGTTCTTAATCTCATAGTAGTATAAGTCCTGAAGCAGCCTCAAATTCTTCAGATGACACCTGCCTTTAAAGGTCACAGTAGAGCAACATAAGTGCTTAAGGTGTTAGTAACTGACACTATATGCGTTTGAGAATGAAACGGTTCTCGTTGCCTTTCACAGACAAGTATACATTTTAATAAACGCCAACATAGGAGAAAAAGGTAGATAAGGTTAATTTTTCTGTTGGAAATTGTGATTTGCACTTTTAATTATTTATATAGAACCTTTTTTTTTTTTTTTTTTTTTTTTCACCATAGTCAAGAAGATCTATTGAATCAAGTTGGCTTTATGCTTGTTCAGGCATCCTTCACTAATTTTCACCTGGCAGTATATATATGTAAGGTGAGAATTGTGATAGTTTAATAGAGCAGGTTTTTGAGTTCTTTAAGACTATGGGCGTTATTTTTTGCAAACATAAGCGTACTGAGAGCGGTGGTTGTTTTTGTTGTTGTTTTCAATACAGTATCACAAACTAGTAATTTGAAAGAGATAAGAATGGGGACCTGGGGGAGGAAAAAGCTTGTCAGAGGGGCTAAAAGTTGTGTGATAGTGGTTCTGCCGCTGCAGTTATTTCCCATTTTAAATACACTCATGCCAGGCTAGGCAGTTTTTAATGTGGTAGGCAACTGTCACAAACAACTTTAGCTCTTAATAAAACTTTTTTTTTGTTCTCTCCCCCTCCCCCCACCCCTTTGCAGCTTTATGCTATTCCTTGGTTTCTTACAATGTTTACACGTGAGTATGCATTCTTTTTCTCTGGTTAAATGTTCTTGTATTTCTTAAGCGTAATTTTTCTCACTTTTTCAGCTAAAGCCTTCCTAATTGGTGCAATGTGTCTATCATTTAATAGGTTGCTTGTAATTTGCAAGGATGTGTGTTGTGATTTGAGTCTCAACAGTGCCTGTCACATACTTTCTGACCTGATTTGACAATAATTAGCATTTTCTTTTTTTTAAAGTCTTATGTTAAATTTGAACTGGATTATTTTAGGCATACAGTATTTAGGGGGTGTGCAAAGGAAGCTGTTACCCACTGAAAAACAGTATAGTAATAGTTAAAAAAAACAAAAACAAACCTTAGCACCTTCCACTGCCCTCACCCAGATAATGTAAGAGAGTAACTTTGATTTTGAAGGCCAACAAAACAAGCTTTTTTTATTGCGTTTTGACACATTGTTCTCCTCCTAGCACTAGTTTACTATGATATTTGTGCATGGATGTTAGGAACAAGAAGAGCTTTATAATTTGGTGAGCTTTTAATGAAAGAGAACAAAGTTAATAAAGCAAGTCCAGAAGGCAATTCAAAATCTTCTTTCTTCAAAGATCTCTGTGATTTTTTTTTTTTAATTTCATGTCAACATTGGCAGACTTCAAATTAAAAAAAAAAAAAAAAGTGACAGCATGAAAAGAGCTGATGGATTATTTCTCTGATGAAATATCAAAGAATCTAATGTGAGATTCTTGATTGTGTTTTCTAAAGATCTTGACTGTAAAGCACAGGTTCTTGCAGTTGTCCATTCTTCTAAAACTTTCATGAGAATCACTACCTTTGGAAAACCAAGGAGATGGTTTCTTTGGCAATGAATTGCAATAAAATGTTAGGACTATTTAGTTGAAGGATAACTTATTTTAGGAGAGCCACCTTCAGCTTTATATAAAATGTTTCTATTGTTAACAGACCTTTTTCCTTGTCTTTCCTTTATTCGGTCAATTTTTGGTCTATTCTGCTCATTTTCTTGTCTAATTTTAAGTAGTTGAGCTTATTGGTTGACTCAGTAATGTCTTCATGCTATTGGAAAAAACTGATATGCATGTCCTAACGTATAATTGCACCATACCAAAAGAAAAATAAATTGCCTAATTTTGTGTGTGTTTGAAATCTGAAAACCTGCACGTTCCTGAGTATTTAATAATGAAAGAACACAGTGATGATTTCCAGAATAATCAAAATGCATATGAAGACAAACTTGTTTCTAAGTAGGTTGAGTCCTTTTTGCTTCCAAATAAAAAAGAAATAATCCTAAGACAGGAGAGGAAGAAAAAGTGTGTAGGCAAGTCCTTAAGAGTGTGCGTGTGTGTATATGTTTTTATCAACTTATATACTTATAGTGTTTTTTATTGTGCTTGTTCATCATACAGATGTCTTTCCTTTGCACAAAATTTTTCACTTGTGGGATACGTTACTGCTTGGAAATTCTTCTTTCCCATTCTGTATTGGAGTTGCAATACTTCAACAACTGAGGGATCGTCTTCTGGCTAATGGATTCAATGAATGCATTCTCCTTTTTTCAGACTTGCCAGGTACAGAAAGAACTATTTCTTCTGTCTTCCCCAGTGTGTTGCTGAAGAAAGTATGTGCTTGCATGTGAATAGATGCTACAAATCTTACATGTGTTTTGAAATCATGGTAGATTTAGGCAAACTCACTGTCAGAGTGTGTAGGTCTTAACTACAGCTTGATGAACTTTGTAGAAGTCTTTTTGCTGTCATCAGCAAGAATTGGGTGAGCTTGTTATTTCCAGGTGAAGGTTGGAGTACTTTCTTCTGAAATTTAGAATGATTTAAAATAATTCATAAGCAACTGTTTGTAGACATGCCACGTATAGAAACAATCCAGTTGGTAGGGATTTCTTAGTGAAAAAAAATTTAGTGCTGTTCTGAACAGTGCTTTTCCACTTTGCTGGTACTAGCCTGTTTTCCTTTCAAAAATAATTAAACTTTTGCTGTGCAAGCAATTAATGTAAAAGGATTAGGGAAAGCAGTATAGAAGCTGTTGGAATTGCTCTGTGTTAAATCAGTTTCCATTTGAAATGTAAAGCTTTCAAAAGAACCCTCAAAATCAGATCAGAGGCTGCATGATTGTTGTGCAGAAGTTCTCTCTTCTTGTTCAGTGGGAGGTGGTTGACCTATCCATACAAGCAAGTGTTGCATCTTTAAAAAAAAAAAAAAAAAATTGCAGTTAACCATGAAGTTTGGGTCTCATTTCTGAGCAAGTTTCTAGTAAGATTGTAGAATGCATTTGAACTGAGTAAGCCCTCTTAACTGAAAGATGTCTGTCCATTTGTGATGGACTAATATTTACATAACACATGAATTGGAAGGCTACCGCACCCAGAACATACTTACATTCTTGTATTAATTCCCTCTCCCCAGCCCAGGATCTTACTAACATACTATAGGTCTTGGTTAAGAGGTGACACTGTTCTAATTGTGTGGCCTTTCTTAAGGTAACTAACTTTTGGGTAATTCCTGGGCTAATTATGGATTTAGTGGGCTCTGTCTGAATAGCATGTGTGCAGTTCAGTAATTCGTAATTCATTTAAACGCAAGTCATTCTTTTTCAGAAGAACTGAATGAGAGCATCAAGTTTGGAGGAGCATTTAAGCTTACAAGCTCTTGTTAGTGTGGCACTCTCCACAACTGTGAGTTTACAGAGGTTAGCAGTATTCTAGGATATGGCAGCAAGCAGACTGAGGCTAAGTTCATAGTTGCATAAATCAGTCTCTCGGAAGTTCAGTGAGTTCTCACCAATGAAGCTCTGTGATTTCTCTAAATATTATCATCACAAATTCTGTCTCTTACTGTATACCCTTGAACGTGTGTCTGGATTTCAAAACCTTGCTTTTCTGCTACCTTTCAGTTTAGTGTATATACTATGCAATTGCTACTGTATTTTTCAATTTATAAGAAATTTAATTAGGCCATTCCTTATGGTGTGGGTTTTTTTCATTTTCAGTCTATATGCTTAGTCATTTCAAATGCCCGTATTAAAGTTTTATTAGATTTAAATTGATCTTCAGATGGTCTGAAAGGTGAGTGCTAAACTAAAAGATTGTCTCTTTCCCCCTTCCCTACTCCCCCATCTATTAGCTACATTTCTTAGTTAAATGTAGATTCATTAATATTTAACTTATTTTCTTGCCTAAGGTCATTTCTCCCTATTTTTTTTCCCTTGAATGGTTCTAAATTATATATTCCAATTTATCTTGAACCAGCTGATTTACTGACAGTTGAAGTACTTTATGCTGAGGTCATGTGTAAGAACATATTAGTTCTCATAATACATGTCTGTTTATATAATAAAATTAAATCCCTAAAATCTGTAGTGTTATAATGTACATACTTTCTGCTGATTATAGTTTATGACAACTTTGCTGATACTCTAGTAGGAAATGTTTTCGTAGAATAGTGTTTCTGAAAAGAAACACCAATTTCTGAAAAGTTCGGGTTTTGGTGGCTTGTTTTTTGTATTGGTGATGTCTGCGATATTTTGGCTGTCAACAGTGGCACAATTGAATATTGTAAGATTAATCCAAAGCATATCATAAACTGACTACCAAGGGAAAAAAGTATGAGGATGGAAGACAATCCTAGTGTGACTTAAAAGTTAAAGGTTATTGGTCTAGCTGAGTCTTCTGTAATCAGTAACTTCTTTGAACATATAATTATCATAGCCTCGTGCCTACTCCTTCTGACCAGAGTCTTATTTCTGGTTAAGAAGTATTGACTGCTTACGCTTTTTGTCACCTATGTCTTCCAAACAGGACTTCCGTTATTTTGGTTAAAATAAATTGTGTACCATGTCTGAGAATTTCCTGAAAGTAATTTATAAGCAACCTTCACCTGAAACTGGGTCAACCTGAGGAAGAGATTGTGTTGTTCAAAACATCCGGAATAATTTCAATCTAAAATCAGTTCTTGCTCAACAGTCTGAAACTCCTGTGGTTTTTAAGCTTTCTGGGCACTGGAATGGCTTATCTCAGGTTGCCAGTGAAAGCGTCTGGCTTTCCAGACTGATAAAGCTAGTTTACTGCAATCTTGCAACTTTGTGGAACGCTTTTTTAAGATTTCTTGTTTTTTACAATCGCTATTTCTAAAAAAAACCAAAAAAACCAAAAAACCACACACAAAAAAACCCACAACAAAACCTGCTTTATTCCCAGTACACTGCATATAACAAAGTTTGAATTACTGTACAAAAAAGTTAATGATGTGAGGAAAAAGAAGGGGCACAGTGCCATTATTGATTACTTGATTCTGAAGACCCTTTCCAATGCTTGTCTCAAAGTTTTGGCCGTATTTTATCTATAAACCCAATACAATTGGGCATTACTTGCTGTTTTGGGGAGTTCTATTGGAAATCTTAGTTTGTTTTTATATAGTTTTAACAATATTCTAGCATATTAGGGAATCTATTTGAAGTATTTGACAAAATAATTGGTCAATTAAGTATACTGGAAAATCCCTTTGCTGTAGCAACAAATGTCCTAGTTCATTCCTCGTAGGGCTGTGTAAAGGGGACATATATGCAACTGCTAAAACTTAGAGTTAGATTGTTTAGGAAATAACTACCCCAAGGTGTTTTTTTTTAATTCTCTTTCATTTGTTCTTTCATATGTTTGTTTTAACTTGTGTTTAAGGAGCTCCATTAAGTATAAACTTTATTCAAACAATGTAAGTACCAGAGACGATTTAGGAGGTACTATTTGAAACAGACAAACAAAACCAATCCTAGAGTCATTGCTAATTCTTTATGTGTAGTTTTGAGATGTAGTAAATCTCATCCTATTCGGGTGATGCGGAGAGAGCAAACGCAGTATGCGTTACCTTTGTTTTTCCTTTATCTAAATCTGACACCTTTATCTGAATCTCTCTAGCAGGAGAATGTGGCAGGAAAATTAGGATGGTAAGGGTGGCACTACTATGACGTGATTCCTGAATTACCAACAGAGGCAGGACTCTGCTTTCAGACCAGTACTGGCTTGTACTAAGCCAGTTTGGATATGTCTGCGTCTTATGTATCAGCAAATTTACAACCCAGAAGGCTCTTTCATGCATTGAGGGCCAACTGTATAAGTAACTTTACTTTAAAACCTGCAGTGTGCTTATAGCTTAGTCTTTAACATCTTGCTGTAAGTTTGTGTGATAATGTACATTATGCAACTCAAAAATCATTATTATTGTAGCTTGGCTTAATTACTACGTTCATTACCCACTGTACAAGTAGTACAAAGTCACCAGCACCTTTTGTTAGGAAACAGACCCAGGAAGGAAGCATCCAGGTATGTACAGCTCTTTGCAAACAGTTGAAGGATCCTGTAGACCAATTCACTCCCACCTGGAATGGGTGCAATATAGGGCCTGGCAAACAGGTCTTCCTCCAGAGATCCATGCCAATATCATCACTGACATACAGAGATTAATTATGGCCTTGAAACTGGAGAGGACAACTACCAAAAGATGGGGACAGATGCTATTAGAGAATAGCTAGACACCAATCCTAGATGTGAGATAAAACATACTTTCAAATAAGCCTTGTAGGTTAGTTCACACAATAACCTCATCTTCTGTAATTTTGGTGCGAGAGAACAGTTCATTCTTTTAATGCTGTGCACCTTAGGAAGGTGTCTTTTTGATGACTCCAGGCTAGTCAGTGCTTCCAAAGGAAGAACCTTGGCCTCAGATAGGAAGTCCAGAAAGACTGGCTGTGGAAAAGAAATCCATTGCAATAAGGAGCTACAGTAAAACTGTTGAAGTGGAAAATGTAGAGGGTTCTACTTTGTGAGACACAGGCATGTAGCTTTAAGATGCAACATGTAGCTTTAAGATGCAACATGTAGCTTTAAGATGCAACATGTAGTCAAAGATATAGCTATCACCAAACCACAAAAATGATTCTCCAAGGAACAGAGTTTCTCTAATGTGGGAGAAACAATTATATCTGTTGCTGTTATAGTGACGTGCCAAAATGCTGAATCCCACGATGGTGAAAGCCATATAAATGCTTAGAAGAATTACATCCAGCTCAGAAATGGACTGAAGATTAAAAAACAGTGGAAATTCTACACTAAGATTGTATGGTGCAGTTTTGAGTGATGCTTCTGCTGACAGCAGCAGAATTAGACGCACATTAGAGAACTCTACTTTAGGTACATATCCGACCCTAGGTAGCTACTGTTTTACTTTCTGTTGTTTTTCTTCCTGAAAATCCTTTGCCTGCCCACATCTGTGATTCATACACTTTTATTGTGCCAGAATTTCTGGTGGTTCAGCATTTAGTTAATTAAGATTTGGTAGGAGGAAGAAATGGCAGTTGGCTGCCAAGCCACTGAGTTTGTGGGTGTTTGGTGCCTGTCCCCATTTGTTTCACCACTTCTAGAATGAAAATGTAAACTCTGAGATCAAAACACCAACTTTGAAGAGACTGAAAGAGATACAGTGGGGTCTTCCGTGTGCCAGTGAGCAGTAGAAAAACAAAGGCAATATACTGTTCTGATTAGGGTTTGACTTTTTTTATCATA